GCTGCTGTGGGCTTTGCCCTGGGCGTCAAACTTTGTTGCTATGGCACTGTGTACCTTAAGTCTAAAAAAGGTTGAGAACCACTGGTCTTATATGTATCCTGCATTTAAAACCTGCATATTCTACTTGGGTAATTTTAAATTAGCATTTATTTGTGTACTTGTATGTAAACATCTATAAAAAATGTTTTAAAGAATACGCAGGATGGCGAGACAACTGAAAACTAGGTTTTGTGAAGGAAAAAAGCTACCAGCAGGGCAGAGCTCAGCTGGTTTGAGTTGTCACAAGCTGTTACTGTCCCTGTAACAACTTGTATCAGGTGAGGGTCTACCCCAGTGAATTTATTTGTCCATATAGTCATTAGGCTGCACAGCCAACACTAACTTTTGTGTAACTTCTGTCCGTGTCAGAGAATTTACATACCCTACAGAGTACCAGAAAGTTCTCATCAAGTCTTGGTGATTGCCTTCAGAGAATCACCAGAAAGTTCTCATCAAGTCTTGGTGATTGCTTTCAGAAAATCCCCTCCTGGCCTACCATACTAGATTTGAATTTTGTGTTCTCTAGAGAGCATGGCTGCAAATGCCTGTAATTTGATCTGAGTAAGCAACTGAATGATTTAAATGACCAGAAGAGAGGAATTTGCAGGGTTACTTGTGCACAATATGCTGTATTCACATACAGTTTTCAATTATTATGCTCTGACTTGGCCAAAGCATGCATCCTCCTTGTGTTTGATGCATTAAAAACAAGCCATTTTTATTTTTCTGATAACAAAACAGAATATGAATTACTTCTTACTAGATTATAATCAGTATTTTGTCATTCATGTCTATTTCAGAACCATCAACAGAAATTTTACTGAGGTCTTAGAAAATAGTTCAACTGTTGGATGAGAATAAACTTGAGAAACCCTTTTTTGGAAAGTTACAAGAACCCTAAAACAGGTTTAGATTTAGAATGAAAATGCTTCTTCAGTCTGTCAATAGCATGAGAGTGAATAATACAAAGGAAATAACTACTAATAAATTAAACCTCACTAAAAGCCATGTAATAACATATCTATAGTATACTGAAAAATTAAAACCTTAAATACTGGAATCATTTTAATACTATGACTTTATCTGTGTGGATTCATATGCATTATATGCAGTATTCAGACTTCTTATTTTACTCATTTAATCTTTGAAACAGTCTAATGTACTGAATTGACAAACCTTGTACGCCTATTTCATCATTTAATATTACAAGTTCATGTTTACATTTTAAATCATTTAGTGCATACAAGATAAAAATGTTGTACTTTCCAACTGTAAGGGCAGTTTTAGTCCAAAATAATCGGTCAGCCTGTGAGAAAAATTAATGTTTTAGAAGACAGCGAGAAAAAGCTGTATAGTCAAAAATGTAGGAGTGTCAGGTATGAAAATGTTTTGGGGGCAATAGGCCTTCTTAGGCCTGTCTTGTGGTTTTGGAGAAGGGTTGCTGAATTCAGCAACAGAGCCATGCAGGTGCCAAATTTTGCTGAGAAGTGAACACCTGCCAGGCTACTCCAGATAACTCAGCAGCTCAAAGGCATTTTCCCAGGCTCCCAGATGAATGGTCTCTAATAGCCGTGGGAGAGGGCTTTCCACTGTTATACACTGTACCACAGACTCTTCTTGGCAGCCTTGGGGAAGCTCAAGTCAACTTGGCTGTAACTCCTTTGGAAAACAAGTGTTGCTGGATAGTTTTACAGTAAAAACTCAATGTCTGATATTTCCTCTCAGTGTCCTGGGACTGTGAAATATGACAAGCAGGGCAAATTACCACTCCCTTAAAATACATTACTCACTGGAGCACATTACAGCTTAAATGAAACTGCAGCCTTTCTGTAGGACTGCCTTTATTCAGTCACATTCTGGTTTCCATTGTTTCCGTGATTTTTTTTTGGAATGTAGTTATGACGACTTACATGTATAATTTCGAAATCATGAAAAATAATGACACTAACAGCAGTTTAGATTTTGCTTTATTTATGGTAAATTTGAAAAGGCCTTTTCTGATTTTCTGTTGGTAATTTACACGGTGAAGTCTGTAAAATGCACAGATTCTTCAAATGGGAAGAAACAACCACGTGTCTTCATTTCATATCTTGTTATGTAGGAAATGGGGATGTTTGTCAGGACTTTTCACTTGGAAAAAGGAGAAAGAGAACAATAGTACAGTACTGGTAGCATTGTAGCAAAACTGTTATCAGCTGCCTTTGGCAGATCAGTGTTTTGGTTTTGTTGCATTATTGAATGGAGCAGGTCAAAAGTCTGCAGTCTAATGCTGTGTTAAAATATATTGTACTCTCTAGATATCCCCATCGTCAAACCTTGACCACAGTTAGCAATCATTGGCATTTTTGGTAGAAGTGCCAAGTAGATGATTATGAAGACTGGACTTCTGTCTTGTTGTAAGTCAGTCTCTCTCAATTCAGGCTTGATGCATTCTGGTGAAGCAGTGTGGGGACAGCTTGGTCAGGCACAGCCGATGGTGTCTTTTCTCTTATATCCACAAAGCTTATGAGCATGGAAACAGGAGGTCAGTGTCTAGAGCTGCCAATTCAGTAATTTATACGCTTTAGATTTGGTTTAAAAGAAAAGATTCTAATTGGCCTTCCACTGGGCTAAAAATTTAGATGCATGACTAGTAGTGGGCATGGCCTGCTGCAGAGTCCAGGGTCCTGTAGGGCCGGACAGTTGGTGGCAGAGGGGCAAGCGAGGGCTGTGTGACACAGCCATCAGTTGCTCTACAACCACTTGGCCCAGTACCACTTACATGCTTCTGCCATGGCAAGAGTGTACCTGGCTTGTTGGCTGCTTGCCCCACTGCTGCTGCCCCAGGCACTAGGCCAGATCAATCTCATAAGGAGCCCTGCAGTACAAATCCAACCTGCAAGGAGCCCCATGGTCTAGACCTTCCTGGGACGCAAGATGAGTTGGACAACCTTGATGTAAGTGGTATAGTAAGACTTTGAGAGCTACAGGACAGAATGGTAGAGTACATACTTCAAGGCAACCCCAGGTGATAGATCGGTAAGTAGAATGGTATATGACTGAGCTTCCCATGGAGCCCTATAGCAATCACTTTTGTGCAGGAAGAAAGGTTCTATCATGGAAAAGTCAGTGAAGGGGTTAAAACTATAGACCTCTATTAAACAATGTCTGATTTCCAAATCTTCTGTCAGCAGCATAAGACAACTTGAAATCATGCACTAGCAAAAGGCTAAAGGACAACTGAGATTGTAGTATTGTAGATCTGTTTTTGATTGTGAGTGGGGTTTATTTTGTTTCTTACTCCAAACAGCCTACACCATATAAATCAAAGGTTTTGATTTGCTCAGGCAGCTAGTCAGTCACATATGATTAAACACTTACATCTTGCAGAACACCAGAACACCCAGGAAAATAAACAAATGCGCATGCCACTCTGATTCCATTCAGAAATGAAATACTGTGTTTTTCACTGAAAAAAGCAAAAGATTTTCACCTTTTTGTTTGACATTTTAATCAAAAGAAAACTGCCCAGCGGATGTGACATGCATGTTTAATGTTTTAGATGCAGTCTGAAGGAGAGCCCCTCTTATTTAGTTATCCATTTTCTCGTTTCAGAAACATGTGTGAAGAGTCACGTTTTTATAAACATTACTCTGTTCAAGTATTATTGCGATCACAGTAGAAAGCATTGATAGTACTGTCACAGTAACAACTGTTTACATAAAGCACAATGTCCTATAATCTTTGATCTGGCTAACCTTACTAGTAGTGTGTCAAAAAGACAGTGGGTGCCAAACTAGCAGTAGCTAACAATAATTTTCTTTAATCATGTTCTGTAAATAGGCAATTAATAAAGGTGATGGACCACATCCAAAGTTTTCTCAAGCATGCATCATTTTTAAGGGGTGGTTAACTTGTCACATCCTGACTTGATCTTTAAAGGGAAGTCAAGTATTACGTTGCCTTCTTAGAGGAAAAAAGATGGCTGATAAATTACTGGGAGATGAATTGTGGCAAATGAATCTGATGGCGGTGCAGTGGAACTTCAGTCCAAGAGAAGTTTCAGGAAGCCTTTTGAACATTGAGGAACTCTGGACTGTAGTGCTCAGGAAGGAATGCAAATGCAGGGGTACCCATAAAGAGAGGAGCCAACATTTATGCCTTCATGACTTGACTGGCTCTACTGGCTGAAACTGGAATGGGGATTTTTGGTCCTACATCTTTTCTTGCAACTTTTGGAGTCTTTTGGTATGATATGAAAGTGATGATAATATTGAATTTTAAGCTTTTCAGTGCTACTTGTTCCTACTGTGTCTGAATACCTTACACAAGGTAGTCAGTTTAACCTTGCAACATTGCCTTAAGGAAGGGGAGAGGATTATCCCCATTCTACAGAATGAATTTAGGCACGTAGATCATGAGTTACAAAGGTAGTTTGGCACCTAACTCATATTTGGGTAACTAACTTCCATTGATTTCAGTAACAATTGGGTATCTGCATACCTTTTGTGGATCTAAGCCTAAATGACTTGTCCAGTGTTTTGGGGAGTTTGACGGAGTAGAAAGTGGCATGGAGTTTCCTGCGTTGTGCTCTAGTACCTTAACCACAAAATCATTGGCTTTAGCATTATCTTATAAAGTTAATAGGTTTTCAGATGATTAACATTTATCAGGATCAGTAGGGTCTTTCTTCAGGACTGTGGCTGCCAGTCAGACACCTTATGTGGACAGTGACTTAATGGAAAATAATTTCTATGATTGGTTAACGTAACTGGTCTGGTTTAAAGTGCCTGTCCTTCTGCTGGACATCAGTCATTTTACTCTTAATTTTAAATAGGTTCTTATTAAATATGTTCCTTTTGGAGCCATGTATATCTGAAGCTTCTTTTTCACCAAGTAATCAGGTGATTATCTTAGGAGATCTAAAATTTTGCGATAAAAAGCTCAAATACCCTTATACTTATCACATTACTTTGTTTCAGGTGCTAGTTTTCATCTCACAGCCTACTTTATGAAAAGATGGGTGAATCTGCGTTGTGTTGTAGAAGACCAGTATCGTGGTAAGCAGTCAGTTCTTATTTATTTGTATAGCAGTTTTCACAAATAAGAGGAAAAAAAAGGGAATATAAAAACAATGTTTCTGTTATCTTGATTCACTTCAGGTGAATCATAGAAAATTAGGGTTGGAAGGGACCTCAGGAGACCATCTAGTCCAACCTCCTGCAGGACCATCCCCAACTAGATCATCCCAGCCAAGGCTTTTGTGTAGCTGGGTCGTAAAAACCTCTGAGGATGGAGATTCCACAACTTCTTTGGGTAACCTGTTCCAGTGCTTTACTACCCTCCTCGTAAGAGAGCTTTTCCTAATATCTAACCTAAACTTCCCTTACTGCAACTTGAGACCATTGTTCCTTGTTTTGTTATCTGCCACCACTAAGAACAGTCCTGCTCCAACCTCGTTGGACCCCCACTTCAGGTAGTTGAAGGCTGCCATTAAATCCCCCCTTTGTCTTCTCTTCTCCAGACTAAATAAGCCCTGCCTCTCCTCATAAGTCATGTGCCCCAGCCCCTCACCATTTTCACTGCCCACTGGACTCTTTCCAGTTTGTCCACATCCTTTTTGTAGTGCAGGCCCCCAAACTGGACATAGTACTCCAGATGTGGCCTCACAAGTCTGAAATACAGGGGAAAAATCACTTCCCTCGATCTGCTGGCAGTGCTCCTACTAATGCAGCCCAGTATGCCGTTAGGTTTCTTGGCAACAAAGGCACACTGTTAGCTTACCTTCAGTTTATTGTCCACTGTAACCCTGAGGTCCTTTGCTTCAGAGCTGCTGCTTAGCCAGTCGGTCCCCAGCCTTTACTTGTGCATGGGATTGTTCAGATCTAATTGCAGAACTTTGCACTTGTTCTTACTGAACTTCATGAGATTTATTTTGGTCCAGTTCTCCAATTTGCCTAGGTTTCTCTGAATCCTAGCCCTGCCCCTCCAGTGTATCCACTATACCCTCCAGCTTGGTGTCATCTAAAAACTTGCTGAGGGTGCACTCCATCCCATCTTTTAGTTCATTGATGAAGATCTTGAACAAAACCAACCCCTCGAACACTCCACTTGATACTACCAACTAGACATTAAGTCATTGATTACTACCATCTGAGCCTGATGATCCAGCCAGTTTTCTCTCCACCTCACAGTCCGTTCATTCAACCCATACTTCCTTAACCTGCTTGCAAGAATACTGTGGGAGACTATCAAAATCCTTGCTAAAGTCAGGGTATATCATGTCCACTGCCCTCCCTCCCCATCCACAGAGTCAGTCATCTCATCGTAGAAGGCAATCAGGTTGGTCAGGTATGACTTGCCCTTGGTAAATCTATGCTGTTCCTAATCACCTTGTTTTCTTCCACATACTTAGAAAAAGATTCCTTGAGGATCTGCTCCATGATTTCTCCAGGGACTGAGGTGAAGCCGATTGGTCTGTAGTTTCCCTGATCCTCCTTATTCCCTTTCTGAAATACGGGCACTATATTTGCCCTTTTCCAATGATCTGGAACCTCTCCTGATCACCATGAGTTTTCAAAGATAATAGCCAGCAGTTTTGTAGTCACATCAACCAACTCATTCAGCACTGACGGGTGCATATCATCCAGCCCCATGGACTTGTAAAAGTCCAGCATTTTTACATAGTCTCTAACCTGTTCTTTCACCACTGGTGGATGCTCATCTCCTCCCCAAACTGTGTTGCCAGGTACAGTAGTCTAGGAGCTGACTGCCAATGAAGACTGAGGTAAAAAAGCATTGAGTACTTCAGTCCTTTCTTCATCATCTGTCACTAGGCTGCCTCCCCATTCAGTAAGGGACCCACCCTTTCCCTGACCTTCCTCTTGTTGCTGACATATTTATAGAAACCGTTTTTGTTACTGTTCATGTACCTTGCTGGGTGCAACTCCATTTGCACTTCGGCCTTCCTGATTTCATCCCTGTGTGTCTGAGCAATGCTTTTATACTCCTCCCTAGTTATTTGTTCAAGTTTCTACTTCTTGTAAGCTTCCTTTTTGTGGTTTAGCTCACTGAAGAGTTCCCTGCTAAGCTAAGCTAGTCTTCTGTCATACTTGCTAGTCTTCCTATGCAGCAGGATGGTTCATTCCTGAACACCCCTGTCCTTTTAAAGGTTTCTTTAAAATACAACCAGCTCTCCTGGACTCCCTTCCCCCTCAGAATGGCCTCCCAGGTGATCCTGCCCATCAGTGGTGGATTTACCATGAAACAAACCGTGTGGTGGCACAAGGCCCCCAATGACAGGGGGCCCCACCGCCACTGCCTGAGGCGGGGGGACCCGGCATCCAACTGGAGAGCCTTCCGCATTTCGCTTGTGGCCCTTCCACCCGCCCAGCGGGTTGTGGGCTTTTTCAGCCATTCCAGCTGGAAATTCCGGCCACCGCCTCTCCCCTGTGGCCGGTGTGCTGTGCTAATTCCCCTGCAGATCTGCCATGGGGTGGGAGGCAGGGCCCTGCACCTTGCTTGGGGCACAGGGTCCCACTAACTGTAAATCCATTGCTGCTGCTCATCAGTTCCCTGAGTGAGAATCTGTCTTTTTGTTGTTTTTTGTTGGGTTTTTTTAAGTCTAGGGTTCTTACTCTGTTGCTCTCCTTCCTTCCTTTCCTCAGGATCCTAAACTCAGTCATTCTATGGTTGCTGCTGTCTAAGTTGCCATCCACTTCTACACTCTCCACCAATTCTTCCCTGTTTGTGAGCAGCAAATCAGGAAGAGCATGGACCCTAGTTGGCTTCTCCAACACTTGCACCAGGAAGTTGTCCCCAGCACTCTCCAAAAACTACCTGGTTTGCCTGTGCATTGCTGTATTGCTCTCCCAGCAGATGTCAGGGTGACTGAAGTCCACCATGAGAACCAGGATTTTCCACTAGCTGTTTGAAGAAAGCCTCATCCACCTTATCCTCCTGGTCTGGTGGTCTATACCCACCACAACATCACCCTTATTGCTCTCCCCTCTGACCCTAACACAGAGACTTTCAGCAGGCCTGTCTCCAGTTTCATACTGGAGCTCTGAGCAGTCACACATCTCTTTTACATAAAGAGCTACTCCTCCTCTTCTCCCTCTGTCTGTCCTTCCTGAACAGTTTGTATCAATCCATGAGAGTACTTCAGTCATGTGAGCTTTCCCACCAAGTCTCTCTTCTTCCAATCACGTCATAGTTCCTTGGCTATTCAAGGACTTCCAATTCTTCCCGCTCATTTCCCAGCTCTGTGCATTTGTGTGCAGACACCTGAGGTAACTAGCCAATTTCCCTACTTTCTCAGGAAAAATGAGAAGGCCTCCCTGGTTGCCCCTTCCTGCTCATGCCTCCTCCAGGTCACCCTGTTCCCCAGTTACTTGAATGCTTTGGTCTCCATCCCCTCTCTTCATCATGTGGATCCTGTCTCTTCCTACCAGTCCTTCTTTTTGGAACAACATCCTGTGGTCAAAGAACCCAAAGCCCCACTGGTGATACCATCCTTGCAGCCATGCATTGATCTACAGAATGTATCCACTCCTGCCTGGGCCCTTCCCCTTGACCAGAAGGATTGAGAACACCACCTGAGATCCTGCCCTCTTCGCCCTTACACCTAGAGCCCTGTAATCACTTTTAATCTATTCAGGTTCCCCCCTGGTAGTGTCATTGGTGCCCACATGGTTGAGCAGCATGGCATAGTAGTCAGAAGGCCAATGAGTCTCGGTAGTACTTCCATGACATCTCAGATCTGGGCTCTGGGCAAATATCAGACCTCCCAACAGGTCAGACCGCCAGATAGACACCTCCGTCCCCTGCAGAAAGGAGTCTCCAGCCACCACCGCCCATCACTCTTCATGGCAGTGGTCTTGATCCTCCCAACGTTGCGGATGCTTGACTTGGCCTCTTCCGCAAGCAGAACTGGCTCCTTCTCCTCTGTTGCTAGGGCTCCATATCTATTCTCCAGGCAAACTGCTGGAGATGAAACCTGCTGCTTGCTGGCAGAGATCTCAAGATTCCAGGTTCCATCTTCCTCCCTGGGAATCCATGTCCTCTTCCTTCTCTATCACTGCCTCTGGCAGTCCTTCCCTCCACAGTCGTAGAGGTCTCCTCCAGCATTTAATTGATGGAGTCCTCATGGCAGAGAATGCTTCAGAGCCTTGCCACCTCCTCCTGAAGCTCTCTTGCCTGCTCCCTGAGGGACACCATCAGAAGGCACCAATCACATGGCAAAGACTCCTCCACCTGGCTGTCACTGGAAGCCACAGTCTCCACAGCACCAAACCAGGAACTGTGTGGAAGCCTCAATGGTGAGTAGTCCTGCCTTGACAGACACCTTGCAGTTGGCAAGAAGAACTGGCAGTGGCAGTGACACTAGCATTGCGATGTCCTCCAGCCATTTTTCTGGCTCTCTTAATCTGCTGCCTCTCTCCTCCTGCCCTCTTTTGAAGCAGACCTTCCTTAGGAATCACTGCTCCTTGGTCTTAAAAGGTCCCGTTTTCCCTGCCAACCTGCCTCCTCGCCAAGCTTACTGTGAAGGAAGGTAAGAGAGTTTCAAGGGAAACTCTGTAATGAGCTCCCCTTCACTATAGACTCTAGTTAAACAAGGGGCTAAAGTATTGGTCTAACTGCTGAGTTTTAGATGCTTACATTAAATATATGTAGGTTAGTTGCTCTTAATTAAAGAAAGAACTTACCTTAAAGGCTCCCCTTCAAAGAGGGGGATGGTAAACTGCCTGCAAACTGCCCTGTTTTTGCCAAAGATTTTGGTCCTTTTTTTGGTTTTGCTTTCTTTTTCTTTCAGGAAGAACCACACTTGGGTATGTGGTTTTTCATTGGATTCTAAAATTGTTTACTGCCTTTCCCAGGTCAATCAGCTCAGCCATAAACGATTTTGTACATTTATAATGACACTCAACATGAACCCTCTGCAGGGTGAATCAACCACAGGTTGTGTTGAGAGTTGCATTATTATTATTTGACCGTCTGGTGACATCAGCTATATGGTACAAGTGTATGCAAGAAAAAGCTTTCATTTAGCCCGGTGCTAGAAAAGACTTGAAGGGTTGATATCATTAGGTCAATTACATTTCGTGCTTTCTCAAGCCAAAGATGCTCTGTAAGGAAGTGACATCAATCCTGTTCTGCCAACAACAATAAAAAAGGAACCATAACAATCACTGCCCTTTCAGTTGATCTTTTAAATTAAAAGGAAAATAAAGTCAGTCAACTAAATAGCATTAAAAATTAACTACTTGAATTATTGCCTTTTTAATGTTTCTTATGTTTTATAGGGATTTATTTATTATGTTTAGGAACTTATCTCCTCTGCTAAAAATAATTACTAGTTTAGTCTAACTTCACATAGAGAAAAAAGATTAGAGTATTCATTTTAAATATTTTGGTAAACATGTACTTTTTCTTGGCTGTTTTGAAATATTAAAGTAGTTTGTAATAATGGGTTTTATATCAACATTTTTCTCTGGTTTACATCCAAGCTGCGTTGCAGTTTTCTAAGATGTATTTCAATCTAAAGGCACATTTATTTTGATAATCAGCAAGAGGACAATCTTGCAAACTATAACAGTGAAAGCAGGTAATAAAGCTTATTACAACACTGCCAAAAGAAATCCTAAGGCCCTGATCCTGCTGTGAGCTGCTTCTCTCACACGGTCATTGCAAGATAGGAGCCTGCATGTTTTTGTTGTCCTATGTAGTCTAGCTGCACTGTAATAAATACATTTTTCAGAACTATAAACACTTTGGTTTCAACATGTTTTATGCAACATAAAGCCAGTATTTCAGAAACAAGGATTGCATACTAGAGATCATCTGAATAGAGTCCTGCATATTGCAGTTGTTGCTCACCCTGACCAGCCCATTTTTGTTTTTAGTTAAAGCTGAAATAACACACCTGTCAGAATGCTTATCATTTGAGACGACCAGCAATCCCTCTGCAAGCAAGCTCAACTCCACCTGCCTGTGCAGAGCATCAGAAATACTGTTCCTTAGCTCTACTCTCTTTTCTCGCTAGAGGCTTCCAGCTTGGAGGTCTGTAAATTTGGTGGTGTGTGATAGGATCTAGCCAAAGGTCAGCTTCCTTTGCTTACAATTATCTTACTCCTACTGGGGGTTAATGCTCTTTGAAACTGTATTAGTTCTTACTAAGTCCCTATGTAGCAGCCATGGAGTACTTGTCAGATGGTTACCCCAGGGTACACTGGTGAAACAGCGTAGTCTTTGGAGAGAGAGCCATTGGCAGGCTCCGTTGTCATTAGGAATTTCTGTAAAGCCCTCCATGCTCACTTCCTTTGGATTACATGTTCTTCAGGGATCTCTGTAAGATCAGCTTCAGTTTTCTTATACCTGTCTCTTCTCCTTTTGACAAAGGCAGAGCACTGTGGCTCATTGTTTTTAAAATATAAGCAACATTAAAGTCTATCAGTTTCTCATGTGAGTCCTAGATGAAAGTATGAAGGTCTCATTTTATCCCTCATATTGTTGAAACAGCCAAGCACCCCTCTCCCACTTTTTGTAGGATTAATATGTCACTAATTGAGTTATGTTTAGTCTATTCCAATCAGGTTATTAGTTCACGTTTTTAATTTCTGAGCCCATTTTAATCTTGTATGAACATATTTTGTTGTTGTTTATTAAGGTCTGGGGACTCTGTAAGGAATTATTCTGAGTCTAATATGTAATTCAGCAGTGGCAACCATCCTTAATTGTCTAGACTAGAGACTTTAAAACAATCTCTGGTAGATTGAAGGGTGTTTTTCATTCGTCATATTTTTACATCACTTTGATAGAATATACTGTTTATGTTATAAAGATAACTCAAAACATTTAAGATTAAAAAATATCATCTGACTAATGCAAAGGAAATCATTCTGAGGGGGTTTGTCTGTAGATTCCATACCATAATTTACCAGGGGCTCAGGTGACTAATTTACAGTCCAGCATGTCTTCTGGAAAACTGAGCTTACCCTGCCCTATTGATAACTGTATTATTCTTACTGTGGGAATAAGGGGTAAAAGAGGGGAGGGAGTAAGGGAATTCAGAAAGGCTGTTAGGAAATAAATTATTGTGCATTTAAAAATATAAACCGTTCTGATTGACAAAATGTAGTACATGTTGCCATTGCAAATTCTATATTATATACCCAAAATACATGTATTGGCTTTGTTATTTTATTTAGAGCTGCATGTCTTTCCAGAAAGACTTATGGTCTGTGCCAGTAGACTTGAATCTAATCCCAGTCCTTGGACAAGTGAAAACGGAGCACTGGTATGTATGCAGGAGTGTTGAGGTACTCTTGTTTACTGTTCACTGGAGGGAAATATGCTTTTATGTGGATTTAGTCATTTGTTTGCTCATCGTGTTCTATTGGAATGAAAAAATATCACCTAAACATTTTGGACAAGATATTCTTTTTTTAAATGAGGACAGGTGTGTAGGAATGTACAGGTAGATTTGGGGGGGCCTAACTTTAGGCAGCCATTTTTAATACCTTAGCCTTAAAAAGTTTTTGTGTTGCCAAATACTAAGATTTATAGGGATTAGTATTTTTTATTTGTTTGGCATATTTTGTTTCTGTCTGCTCTATAAAACAATTCACAAGGGTCAGTGCTGGCATTGCTGGGAAAAAAAATGTCCACTATAAAGTTCTGGGTAAAGAGGTATTGCTAGGTAGGTAATTACCAGTAAAATTATTGCCTATATATTTCATCTTGAAGGCTTTATCAGGGTCAGAGGCTTATGAATTTTATACTGCAGTTAACCACTGATTGTCTCATGAGTACTAACGTTGACCCAGGTGGCCTGTTTTATAGCATGCAAACTCCTTCTGTGCTGGTGGTGAGTGTCAGGATTACACTTTAAGGTCTGTATATGTTTTACTAAGATTGATAGTGTTATATTCTGGTTAAGGAAACAAATATTAATTTTAATCACTGAATTTAAGATTTTTTTGCATCAGGAAGTTTCTTTATTTTTTACATTTTGGTCCCAGAATTGATGAATGTCACAGGATTTGTCTAAAAATATATTTCAGTTCCTTAGAAAGAAACATAATAAGTTGGTTTTGAAATACTTGTTATCTAAGTAAAATATACTACTCTTGCATTGGTTTTTAAAAAGTGCTCAGGCTCCTTAAATTGAGAGTTTTACTGTGCATTTTGACTGAAAAAAAATAGTGGCTGGGAAATTAATTATTGCATATTTCGTAGGATAGAGGAAAGGTAGTTTAGATCCAGATTTGTCAGCTTCAAGAAAATAATGTGTGAGGGTCGTCCTTATCATCCACCCCCTTGAATCTTCTTTCTGTCTCCATGCACCCAACCATTGCTCCTTGGTTTTTGCTGGGCAGGGTTTTGTTACTTACGCACGCCTGGCCTATGTGCATATGTAGCCAACTACTTACCTGTCTAGCCAGTGCATAGCCTATTGAGCATTGATAGTAGCCATGCGATTCCTTATTCATTCACAGTGCTTGGATAATAGAGTTGCAAATTATTCATAAGTGCCAAAAATGCCACTTATGTCTGGAAAACTGCCATGTAGGCACACAATGGGTAATAGAACGTTAGCCCACACGTGCATATAGTGCATCTGTAATGAAAACACACTTATCCTGCAAAAAATTAAGCCTGTGAGTAATTTTACTCACAAACATATCAAGTCTTTCAGCTGTAAAGTTCATTTTCTAAAAGTCAGGCACCTGCACAGATGGTCAAGTTTTGTTAGCTTTATTTTAATTTAACACTCTACTAATTATCTGAAATAATCACAATACGTTTGAGGGAAGTACTTTTTTTACCCTCTTCTCCCAACTTACAAGAATCACATGCAAGATGAGCAGAAAACAAGGGGAAATTTTATTTGTTGCTTTTTAGAGAAATTAAAACTTTCAAACTAGAAGGACTTAGATTTCTTACCAGTAACTTTAACAAACCCTGAAAATGTCTTCTCTGGTACATTTTATGATAGAGGCTTTGATTGTAACTCCATGGTAAGGTTAAGACTGCTGCAGGCTGCACTCTCCCTGGTAGCCTTCCAGAGCTGCAGTCATCCTGCTCAGTAGATGTTTCCTCAGCAACCTCCAACATATAGGTAGTTTTTTTAATAAGAAATGTTTAGGATTAAAGGGTCATTTTTGCTTGACAGGGACATGAAAGGTAAATATGTAGAGCACTGAAATACAAGGAAAAGGAAAGAAAAGTATGTATTTTAGAGCTATGCAGGTGAACACAGAGGATAGGGAGAGAACCTGGGAAGGTATTCACTGGGGAATATGGAGATCAAGGCGGGGAAATAGACCTGGTATGTTTGTAGTGTGGTAGCTTAGTAAAAAAAGTTCTCGACAGAAAGCAAGTTAAGCTTATGATGTGTGGTATCAAGTGTGTAGTAGTCATCAGGCTTGTAGAGAAATAGAGTATGGATTTCCTTGAGTGTGTCCTGCTCTAGGTATACATGCCCTTTTTGTGCACGTGATCCGAATCTGTAGCAGCACCGGGGTTGAACCTGTGCTGAATGCTTCCTCATCCAAATACAGAAAAGGCAGTGTGACCCCAGCTGCCCCTCACTTTTGCTACCCATAATAGCAAGACGGTATAAGCAGTGCCTACTACCCTTTACAGACATTTACTTCTTTTGTCCAGTTTTCCTTTAGTTAGTTACGGTTAATGCTCAGCAAATATACGATTCCTGACACTGATCTACCTCTTCTCACAAGGGAAATCTGAAACTTTACTTTCTTTTTGGAATGACATGCTAAACCTGCAAATACAGTGGGGCAGTTGATACTAGCTTAATTTCTAGCTTGGTGTGAAAATGGTATGATGTCCTCGGTTTCTGCACTTGTTAGTGGTGGCAGCGGCTGATTTTGGCACCAGCATTAATGTTACATTAACTGAAATGCCGTAGCACCAGCATTAAGAGTGCCAGTGTCCTATTAGAGAAGACAGTTGCATCTCTGACACACTTACCCAAGAGCATACCATACAGTACTACTGCTTTGCAAATGGGTATGCCTCCACTGGCTGAAGTTTACCCTCTTTCCCCTCCTCTTCATCATGGAGCAGAGAACCTTTGGCCCATCAGTCAAGCAGATAAAGTGGGGATCTTTTTCATCAAACTAAGGATACTCATTTTTGACCGCCAACTCATGAGCCTTGAGAATGGCAATCACCTTATCAGCCTTACCAGATCTAGCCTTACCCAGAGAATGCCTTATTGACCATACTGGTAATCTCTTTCTGGGATACTATGAGCTGATTTCCTTCTTACCAGCTATGAAAACATAGTTCTTAGTATTCAAATTAGGCTGTTGCTCTGACAGGAAAAGAAAAAACATTCTGAAAATGAAAAACAGGCAGGTCTTTGAGCCACCTGACCAAGCATTTTTCATCTTATGCAAGAAATCCATTATAGCCTTCTCTCAGAGGTTGTCGACTCAACACCTGTACCAGATCCTGATGAGTTTCGAGCCATCCTAAGCTGCTGTTTCATATAGCTGACACCCTCAAAATAGAAATCTTAGTAAATGAAAATAGAAATCTCAATATTTTGAGACATTTTATATTTGCTTAACACAAGGCTCATTGCTGTCTCTGCAGTTCGCCTAGAAGACTGAACAATAAAAGACAGACAAAACTGTTGGGGTGAAAGTGATATATTTTGTTAGAGCAACTCAATAGTTGCAAAAAAATAATTTTGTTATTTGTAAGCTTCAGACCCCAACACCCTTTGTTTGCCTGATGAGAAGGGTGTTTGGGCCTAAAAGCTTGCAAATAAAAAACATTTTTTTTGCAACTGTTGAGTTGGTCAAATAAAAGATATCACCTCTACCCGAAGAGTTTTGGCTGCCTATGCCTCTAGACCAACATGGCTACTACAAATATCTCTGGAACAGTATAAGAGCACTCACATGGACAAGGACCCAAATATATTACAGAAGGAGGCAAAGAAAGAAGACTTTATTATCTGTGCCACTTCAACTATGAAAATCAAATTCTTGTTTGTATATAATCTCTGATGAGGTATCCTGCTTTCTGGCCAAACTCCCTTAGGGAGCAGGTAAAAGACATCATTGTTGAAGGGCAACTAATGGATGCATCAGATGGCTTAGAAGTAGATGACTGATAGGTGAACAACACTGTCACTACAGGCTTCTGGCATGACTAGTACAGAATAAAATAGAGAACTTGCCCTTAGCAGTTCTAGCAGACTCAATCAACATGCATACCTATGACATGTCACACTCCCTGAAAGGCTGTTGGACTAAGCCTTGTTCATTGGGAATTTACATTGCCCTGAATCGCAAACCCTTCAGATAGCAAGAGCATGAGTTTGTCAGTCGTGTGTAGCAACTTTAATTGTTTTATAACAAAAGCTTGTCTGGATTAATTCAAAGGTGACAAAGCCTATTTGTGCAGTGTTTTCATTATAAAATATGCACCACTGCATATTTCTGTGTTTTGAGTTGATGTTTCTCCTCATTGCTACAAACATCTGTTCTGCTCTGGTTAGCCTGAAGTTAGATTTTCAGATGTACTACTTCCTAGCTCATTTCACTGCTTCACCACCTCATACCCTCTTTCTCAGCATTTGAGGAATCTGGTTTATAAAAATAATGTCCTGTGTATTTAAATTGTGAGGTATCAACTCTTTTTAGTGTTCACCACTACCAATGCTTTTAACTTCCTCAGGGTTTTAAATTCCTTTACTTTTACTTCCTTTCAGAGTGTTTATGCTTTCATTCAAGTTTTCATTCCTTATCTGATGCAATGATACCTAGGCCTGAAGCCCTCCCCTCTCATTCTCTTGGATGATTTTTGCCTCAACCTGATATGGGCACGTTCCTGTCGTTCATCTCTTGCACTAAACTGCAGCTATTTTGCTCCACTACTTAGCTTCAATTCTTTTTGTTCCTTATGCTTTCACCATCTTGTTTTAGGCTTCTGTTATGCTTTCCCTTATATTTGCCAAGATGGAGAATAATTAGGCTTGGCAGGATTCAACTTTTATTGATAAATATTGATAAACGTTGACTCTGCCGCACACTCACAGACCAACGGAATAATATTTCCATCGATAATCATCAAAAGCGGAAGTAAAAAAAAAAAAATCCAGGATGGGTTAGGAAATCTGGGGTAAGAGTGTTGTGCACATATGTGCATGTGCGTATGCATGCACGCCAACTAGGACTAAGGCTCCTGGCTGCAGAACCTGCATGCAGTGGAGGTTGGCAAAGGCCAGAGCTGTGCCCCAGCAGCAGAGAAAGCCCT